GATTTCCATTATCAAATATAAAATTTTGAACTTGGTAAATTAGCATATGATGAGAGTTATATTTGGAAATCTTACTCTGTATGGTGGCACAATGGAACTCATCAACACCACAAGTAGGACCTATAGTTTTGGATTTTCATTACTGTATGGTGATTTGGAAATAAAACTTTGTATGACTTATACACCCATGGAAATTATACCCTGTATGAAGTAAACACACAAGCTCGTCAACAGGGGGGTGCAGATATAAACTGGAATGGCCCAATGTACAAAGAAAACATACAAGTTAAGAATATTTAAATTTAATTAGAAATTACATGATTGGTGATCATAATTTACAAATTCACAAATACAAATGTGAAATTTACCAAAAATTACAGTTAACGAAACTGTAAGATATGTGGAGAAGATCAAATTGAAGATGAGGAACAGGGACAGATACAAATATCTCTATTGACAGTATTGTCATCACTGTGAAACTTAATATATACACACAATTTACGCTTGCACTGTGGATCTTGTCAAATACTAATGAGCCTGACTCACACCCTTTAAGAAAAAATGCTTTTTTTCCCAACTTACATGACATTCTGTGCTACTTTTTTTGTAGCATATAAAGTTTAGGGTATTTGTACACTTTTTAAGAACTAAATTTGTGAAACATAAATTGCAATGAATATAACCTTATGTTAAGTGCTAAACCAGTGTAATACTTCTTTGGTCGGTGACAACGTATTGGTAGTGCAAATCTGGCTAAGTCAAGTACAAGTGATTATATTAAATTGTTGAATGTTATAATAACTCACCACAACAGCATATAGTAATATCTTGCCTAAATTATCAATAAAGGTCCTGTCATACAAGGAATAAGCTGATTCTAAAACACATCTAAAAAAAATAACATGAGTTCAATACATTAGTCACTGTAATTGCAGCAGAACCACACAAATTGTAATTAAATTGTGTCAATGGGCTTCATCAGAAGCAAGAAACAATTGACATACTGATTATGTTTAGACTTGGACCCAGTTTTAAAAATGTATGATGTCATTAAGTGATAAAAGATCAAATGTTGGTGTGACCTATTGAACCAACTGATTGCTGAATTTGAATCTAACTGAATATTACTATTGACCATGTGTATACTGTCATATTCATGGTGAAAATTATACATACATCACATGAAAATGAAAATTTTGAAAAAGTAAATACGTGTAACATGGTATTTATTTTTTATACATGCAGTCTTGATGTTAGTCCAAAGGCAAATTTGTAATTGGATAATACACAGATGACAGGAATTAAGAGGATGCAGAAACTTACGGAGGAAGGAGTAGCAAGAAAAATGTTTTGGCACTGAAGGATAAATAATGTTGAGCACCCATTGCACTACAAATAAATAAAGTGGTTTTATTAATAAATTGACATATTATATTGGTAACATTCAACAGGAATAAGTATAGATAAATATACTCACTACAGTATCCCACCAACAACAGAACCAAGAACAATCAGGGAACAAGATTCGGGGAATATTGAAGACAGGATTCCAGCATGATGAAAACCTGAAATGTAAACACAGATACAAACTCAAATTAAACAAGCCATGCATGGCACAGTCCCCGTTAGTTATCAAATTGAAGATATATAGTTTTGTTTATAGTAAGATAGCTGGAATATAACCATGTCAGGAATATGATTTTTTAACAATAAAATGATTGACATTTGTATCTGATCATCAAACAAGTACTTGTCCATATTGAGAGATATTGCTCTGGAACAGCATTCAAAATCAGCCATTTTGAATACATGTATATACCGGTATATATATAATACGATATATGACGAATATATAAAATTTGAATATAATCAGTCAAAGCATTTAAAAGATATGGCTCTAGAAGCCCAATCATTAAAACAAATTGGCGCCAGTCAGCCATTTTGAATCCAATCTGACAAATAAAATGACATGCATCAGGAACCTGTAATGTCTAATGTATGTTATAAGTTTGAACAAAATCCATCTATAAATGCCAGAAATGCTTGATATTTGATGATTTTTTTAGCACAAAAATAGCTACCATTTGGCCACTTTGAAAAGGATCGTCAAACCAATATATCTGTATATCTATGACATGATGTATAATGAATATTAAAAATTTGAACATAATCAGTCAAAACAAGTCAGACATATGGCACGAGAACCACATTCATTAAAACAAAATGGCCGCCAGTTGGCCATTTTGAATCTAATCTGAAAAACAAAATTATTTGCATCATGGTCCTATAATGTCCAATGTATATACAAGGTTTGAACAAAATCCATCTGTAAACAGCCGGGAAATGCTTGATTTTGATGATTTTTAGCACAAAAATGGCCGCCATTCGACCATCTTGAATCAGATCGTGAAACGTGCATATGTATAATATCATGTATGATGTATGTGTGAAGTTTGATTGTGATTGGTCCAGGCATTTCTAAGATACAGGTCCGGACGCACGCACAGACGCACGCACGGACACACGGAGCTCAAAACATAAGTCCCCGTTTTCGCACTGCGTCCGAATGGGGACTAACAAACCATGCATGGCACAGTCCCCGTTAGTTATCAAATTTAAGATATATAGTTTTGTTTATAGTAATATAGCTGGAATATAAACATGTCAGGAATATGATTATGATGATTGTTTAACATTTAAATGATTGACATTTGTATCAGATCGTCAAACTAGTATTGAGAGATATACAGGTATAATGAATATATCAAATTTGAACATAGTCAGTCAAAGCATGTCAGAGATATGGCTCTAGAAGCCCATTCATTAAAACAAAATGGCTACTAGTCAGCCATTCTGAATCCGATCTAAAAAATGATATAATGTGCATCAGAAACCCATAGTGTCTAATGTATGAACCAAGTTTGAACAAAATACATAAATCTATAAATGCCATAAATGCTTGATATTTGATGAAAAATGGCCTCCATTTGGCCATTTTTAATAGGATCGTCAAACCAATATATCTGTATATCTATGACATGATGTATAATAAATATTCAAAATTTGAACATAATCAGTCACAGCAAGTCAGAGATATGGCACTAGAACAGTCTGCCATTTTGAATCTTATCTGAAAACCAAATGATGTGCATCAAGGTCCTATAATATAATGTCCAACGTATATACCAAGTTTGAACAAAATCCATCTGTAAACTGCCGAGAAATGCTTGATTTTAATGATTTTTATAACAAAAATGGCCATCTTGAATCAGATCGTGAAACAAATTGATGTGTATATGTATAATATCATGTATGATGTATGTGTGAAGTTTGATTGTGATTGGTCCAGACATTTCTAAGATACAGGTTCGGACGCACACACGGAAACATGAGGTCAAAACATAAGTCCCATAACTGCGTCCGAAAAGAGACTGAAAATACAATTATATTGCATTCACAAACTGCATATTACTTGTATATTGACTATCATCTATGCTATGACACATTAACAGTATTGAATTCACAAAATGCTGAAGTGAATTTAAAAACACTCACCAATTTTAGCAATGCCTGCAACAATCACAAAAACAGTGATAATGAGTGGTCCTTGTACATAATCAAAATTCCATGCAGCAATTTCAATCCCTTCAACTTCTTCTGTTTCTTCATGGGTTTCTACAGATGAAATATTGTCACCGAGCTGATATATAAATTCTTCTTCCTGACTTAAGCATCTTGTCATCAAACACAACAGCAGAAACCATGGGAACAAAATTTGTAAGCACTTCATCTTTTTTTAATTGGTTATGGTCCTTCAACAGCAATCAGTACTGTTACTCATAACCTTAGTGCTGTAATAAGACATTACTTAGATTAAATATATATTAACTGATATATTTAGATGCAAGATGAGTAATTACCGTAAAACACGCCTTTTTAGCTAGCTTGTCATTTTAGCTAATTTAGCTAACCTGTAATTTCGCTAATTCAAGATGTTGCTAATTTAGAATAATAAAGTACATTCTCACAATGAGATTGCTGGCATTTTAGCTAAATTAGGATTTTGTCAATTCATGTATTGAGTCAAATTCGCTAAAATAGCATGTAGCTATTTCAACGTGTTCTACAGTACTAAGATTAACATTAACTATGGATGGTTAACAAGGTTAACATTATTAATTATTAGAAAAATAATTAAAATTCAGGATAGTTAATAAGGTTTTGAATATTAACTACATGTATAATGAAAATAGCAATAAAGATTTAGAGTTGTTAACAAGTTAACATTATGAACTGTATTAGAAAATTACAATTCAGGATAATTAATAAGGTTATTATTAACTATGTATAATGAAAAATGGCAGTTATCTAGTTAAAGCTTGGTAACGGCCCAGTTTTTACTTGGTCTGTGCAACAGTCAAAGTCGCCATCTTTGATCATATGAGACCCATATCTTGTGCATTCGTGGTACAACGACCACTGCCCTTTAATAAGGTAAACTGTGTATAATGAAGAATGGCAGTGAAAATTTACAATGGTTAACAAGGTTAACATTATGAACTGTGAAAAATGAAAAATAGCAATAAAGCTTTAGAATGGGATAAATGTGATTGGAAAGGGGTTGAGGGTGATTTCAATAACTGCATGTTGAAATTGCACTAGTGCTATTTAATTCATACACCACACATTGTTTTCCTGTTTTCATATGAAATGGGGAGGAAATTTCACTCAATCGCAAGATATAATGCATACAAACCAGGAGATTGAACATTATATAAAGATATGATATAAAGGTGTTAATAAAAAAATATCAGCTTTGACAAAAAATTAGTAAACATGGGAGAAGATGGAAGATAATAGTCAATTAGTGATGATATAACCTTTGACTTTAATCAGTTCGCAGTATAACTATAATATAAAAAGCATTCAATTCCAAACATGCTAATCAATTCTTCCCTATGGATCTAATTGATAAATATGATGCAATCACTACTAATGTTAAACTAAGGACAAATATCATGGGATTACATATATGTTCTGGTAACAAATTTTGAGAAAATCGTCAGCTAGACCACCTGGGGAAATATAATTTGCAGGGACAGAGAAAACAATTAATAATGGGTTGTCGATCATTGGAACTTTGGTTAATTTAGGGGGAAAATTTACACAACAGAAATAAATAAATCTTACACATACTTTAATTTATCTGCCCCCCTCCCAATTACAAATTACAATCACAGTCATTTTATCACAGGGGAACTAGTGTGTTACTATGTTATTGTGAAGACAATTTAATAGCTTTTTTTCTTATATAAATTTCGTCAAAGCTAGCAAATTAAAAACCCGATTTATGTTAACAAAACCGACAAGGGTAGGAATAGCCAATGGCTTCAATAGTGTTTTTATGCTTTTGACTTGACGTCTAAGAATTCAACGAACGCTCACAACACCATTCTAGGCCAGGGGCGGGGATAAGGGAAAAACGAATACACACAACAACAATCACTCAAAAAAAGCTGCCGAAGGACAAAGTTGAGCGAAATCGATGCACATGAAAATGACATGTTCTGTCGAGAGTTATCGATCGGTCGCCCGGGTCACCGTCCGGTGTTGAGGGACGGTGCCCGGGTGCAGTTTATTTATAGTTATTTTATTTTACTTTAGTGCCAGTCAATGAATGTCACCCAGGGATGACACACCTTGTTCTATGTCGCGCCACGGGCTCTAAGACTGACACTGCAGATACAACGTGAGATAACAGTATACTCACCAATTATTGCGATTGACATTTACAAAAATAAACACACGATCACCTTGTATGACGTCGCCCCTGACCTATGACCGGCCCTAAATGTTACTTGTTGTTGTTACCAAGTAATGCAAATCACATCGTTCAAAATTCGTGTAATTATCAAGTTCAAAGGTCATTCGAGATAATGTCCCGCGAGACCTTTCATTTGCGCATGCTCTGTCAATAGTTGAACTGGGAGATAGTTTGTAAACGAAGTTGCTTTGATGGAATTTCTCCAGAAAACATTAGTTTGTCTGTGTTTACTACCTGTCATAAAAATAATATTGTACAAGAATCGTCGATATTCGGACACGACTGTGTGCTTGCCGTAGCAGCTGTCATCACACCAATTTCAGACTAAGCACCAACAACAACATTGGCTAGCAGCTCCCAAGTTTGGCGTTGACGAAGAGCCTGACCTGTTCAGTCGATGGATATACAATACACAAACTTTCTCGGCATTCAGTATATCTTTGATATGTTATGTTATATTTCAATCCCACTTTTGAAATTGTAATTTTAAAGTACATTTGCAAGCGTGTTTAAAAATAGACATATTTGATAACATAAACTAGGTAAACGCTGGGTAAAAAATACGGAACCTGTTACATCATACTTAAAACAAATTTATTTATTTTCATTGATTTCTTGAATAGTTTAATTAATTAGCTCTAATTAATTGATTTTAGTATGTGGGGGCATTTTGATATATATTTGGAGTGTTTTGCAGTGAGTGTCATAATGACCTAATGCACAGATAACCATTCATTTTCCAATGTGAAATTGCAGACTAAATATTTTTTTTTTCTATTTTTTTCATTTATTTACGCCATATGTAATTATTTTGAAAAATGCAAAATCACAGTTCACTTAAACATAAGGTTAAATCAGCAAAAAATGGATCACATGTTGTCTTACCCTACAAGCCCCCTTCGTTGCCAGAGTGGGATAGTGCTCTACCAATTCCACGTTTACCATTCCGTTTGGCTGCAGTTGTTGTTGGTCTGTTAGCTCTTCTCTGCTATTGTAACAGTATTGCAGGGGAATTTGTATTTGATGATACTGAAGCAATTCTTACGAACGATGACTTAAAACCTGAAACGCCATGGATGGATGTTTTTCATAATGATTTCTGGGGAAAGAAGATAACCAAAAAAGATAGTCACAAGTCATACAGACCACTGACAGTTCTAACTTTTAGGTAAGTTATGCAAATCCTAGATCATGGTTTAACATACTGTGAAATAAAAACATTTTGGTTATTTTGTATGGAATATTTTCTCACTGATTTTTGGTGAGTTGAATGTAAAATATAGGAAAAAGGGTATATTTGCTGGATTTTATTTTCACTGAATCACTCCTTCAGTGAAAATAACAAAAATTAATTCCAAGTGAAAATAAATTATTTTACAGTATACTATACAGTCACAAATTACATGTACCATAACTGTTTGTTCTATTACAACCACATAGAGGTATGTACAGGTAAACCAACAAATTATTTGTTCAATGTTTTGCAATGCCACTACAGCTAGATCATTGATATAGTAGACATCTTACTGTAGTAGTACAGTGAAATGTAAAAAACCGTACCTTAGTTCATATTTCCTAGTTAGGTCATATTTATAAATTTTAAATATTGACCAAGAGCTTTCATTCAAATTCAAATATTTAATAGTGATTGGCTTAAGAGCTCAACATTATCTATACCCATAATGCATGCATGCATGCCTTCACATGACATGCAACTCTGACTGCTCACTTATTCAAAATGCATTGTTTGCTCATTGGATGTCATGTTGAATTGACAAATATTAATTACAGTAGAACTAATGAAGAAGTCACAATGGCAATTCTAGAATTGAAATGTCGATTTTGATTTATAAACATTTATATTTGTAAAATGTTCGTTGTGGAGTTTGTAATGTGGTAAAATGAAATTTCTATTTTCTGAACACAAGTTTATGAACAAAAAAAATCAGGTGCATGGTAGTTTAGTTTGTGCTTTAAGAAGCTCCCTACAGTCACATAGGCCTCCCCATCAGTCACCAAGCTGACTCTACTTGATTTTCAGGTTTCCATTTTAAATTCCTACCAAATCAGTCTTATTAAGAGGCACACTGTGCAATTTCCTTGGGAGAACACTCATCTTCCTAGTTGCTCAAAATTATTTTGCATTGAGAAAAAAATAATTGATATTTGTTCACATTAAAAATGTACATTCCACTGTTGAAGTGAGTTTATTAATGGTTTGACACGTGTTGGTTTGTGGTTACATTCACAGCAGGTCATGATCTGCTACAATCTGATTACAATGTGATGTAGATAGAGCTTCCAGTCATTGTATGGCACATATAGCTGTACATCAACTGTTGTGTGTTATTATTGAAAGTTACTGAGACCTCTATCAACATCACCTTTTATTATTATTTTATTAAGATTGGATCTGCCAATTTGATTGTCTGTTTCTCTGTCTACATTATCTATATTACAAATGTGTATATATATATCTGTTCTATTTTTATAGGAGAACCTTCCCAAATAAAAGAAAATCTTATATTTGAAAAACTTAGTGTTAGACAATAAACCATGTACTCGTACTTTCACACTCGAGCAGGAGATAGGACATCTGAGACATGTTGGTCAATTAGTCTTGCACTCTGAGTGTTTTATTCTTTGCAGTCATAAAAACATCATTTTTTTTCACAAATAGAAATGAAAAAGTAAAAAACCTGCATACCTCACATCATTATATTTTTTAATAGGCTAGCCAAGTCTTCCACATTCAAAAATACACATACTATTTCTATTTAATTTATTTTATTTTATAATATTGTCACTGAATTCTTTAAAAGTAATTTGCTACATGTATATATAATTTGAACAGTATTTTGCTTGATTTCATTGGATTTTTACTTTCACTATGCACATGCATACTAAAACTCCTAGAAGTGTTACATAGTAATGTAAAACACTCAATTAGAGATTTAATTAATTCATATATTCGCCAATGTGTATATAGTTGCATCAAGTAAGGGGTAGACCAGTAACAATAGTAAAGAAAGAGGTAGAAAGAAGAGAGGGACTGAGGACATGGCATATTTGACAGTCACTTGAGCCATTGTCATATAAAAATTTGATATGGTGGTGTCTTCTAAAAACATGGCATCAAAATGATTTCTGTTTATTTATTGCTGTTGTAGATCCTGAGAACTAGCCATTGAATATCATATCGGGGAATAAATGATATGTTGAACGCTGAAACTGACACTCGATTCTAGTCGATATATTGTTATGCAGAGGCGGCGGCACAACATTTTGCATTGGGGATTGGCTTAGCTGAGGTCTGCTCAATTTTGAATTCTAGACCCTCTGAAACGCTATTTCCTGCATTTTGAGAGGCAAATTTCACCTTGATTTGGGGGGGGGACACCCTCCAACTTTTTTGAAACGGATTTAAGTATAAGGATGATTGTAAAATATGATTAAGATGAAATAGCGTCCAACAAATTAATATGGTATATGGTAACAGTCAAGTATTATTTACACTCACAATCTTAGTTTGGGCAGACATTTTAATTTAATAGCAAGTGCTTTTGAAATGGTGTATCTTAATGCATTTTTTGCTCATTTGTTTATTTTCAATTTTGAAAAGCAAAAGTGTATAGTAATATATATTTATATCATTTCAAGCTGCAGGGTGTCTAAACAATGACCCAACAACCAATCAACACATCTTCCACCCACCACAACAATTTTAGCCATAATTGAACAACCAAGAAAGCAACAAATATCAGGATGCATCCTGAAAACAACGACATAGCACATTACAACCAGTCATTGCAAACATGAAATCCCTCACCCCTCCCAATACACCCTACAGCATTAATGGTTCCTATACTGATTTGAATGTATGTACAACAAGCTTAGCCAATAGATGCACACAACTCATCAAACTTTTGACCAGCCACTCATTCTAATTATTGTTGAGTGAGGGCGCGATTTACTAATGAAAAGGATCTTTTAAAAGAATTAAACAGATATTATATGTATATAGATATATTTACACCGGTATTATAGTACATTTTATTATTTCATGGAATTTTTGATTGAAGATTTCTGTGTATCTGGTTCTCAAAGCCTAATTATAGATGAACAAGTTGTACATACTGTAATAGTCATTAACAAGATTATTGCTGAACCTTGTCAGAATGGGAAAGTAAAGAACTAAAAGCACTAGGTCACTAAAAACTTTGGAACTAAACTAAATTGTGCAAGAATAATATAGAAAAGGTGAACTCATCAATTTACAATATAGTTATTTATTGCAAAATGAAATTATTGCTAAATATAAAAATCTAGTATTCAATGAACAACCAAACAGTCATATATTCTAAGTCAACCCTTAAACATACATTACACAGTGATTATTTTATTTTTTTGTATCCCTATTTTGGTAGCATCTTGCCATATGACAAGTATAATTATCAGGGCTTCTTCAATTTATTCAATCAAAGTAGGGTACTCTTTTTGTACTGCCTTCTATACACATGGCTGATTGCTGATTGGTCAATGACAACTAAAATTACAGCTGTGATTGGTCAAACAGCCTTTTTAAGTTTCTAAATGTTTAAATATTTATACATCAACATGCACAGGTAATCTGAACTACGAGGAGCATTAACATGTATTGTCATACAAGTAACTGATCTGATATTTTCTGGGCAGAACACTGAATAATGTAAATTTGTTAAATGTCTTTCTCTGTTTCTTTTCTCAGGTTAAACTACTGGCTAATGGGTGGCTTAGAACCCATGATATTCCATGCTACCAATGTTGTTTTACATTCCTTGGTCTGTATTTTATTTCTGCATATATTTTCTGCTATTTTTGGTGGATATCATACTGATGACAATGGAAGCAAAATATTTGCTGCCCCCAGAGCCAGTCTGCTTGCTGCCATCTTTTTTGCCGTACATCCTATACATACTGAAAGTGTGAGTGTATTCAAATAATCAAAATTCAGTTCTCTTCTCCTCTTTTTAGCTCTGATGTTTACTTTGATAAGCGAAGCTTATCATATGAGTGATTTTCGACTTTTGTGGAAAACTGCAATTCCAATAGCTTTGATATTATACATACATGTACAGTTACCTCAGATGGACCTCTCTCAGATTTGTTCATTTTGTGATGATAACTTCAATTCTCTAATTGAAATGTGCTTTGATAACGATGGTGCTATCTCAGCCAAGAGGCTGCTTGAACACCAACGAAAAAAAAACACATGAAATAAGCAAACATAGTTGGGCAAAATTTCAAAGATAGTTGAAGACAATCAGAAATCCATGCTATGACTACTCCTATCAGCTGGTCAGCTAGAAATCAGTAGTGGGCCATGTTATGACCACTCCTATAAGCTGGTCAGCTAGAAATCAAAGGTAGCCATGCTTTGACCACTCTATAAGCTGGTCAGCTAAAAATCAGAGGTAGCCATGCTTTGACTACTCCTATAAGCAGGTCAGCTAGAAATCAGTAGTGGCCATGCTATGACCACTCCTATAAGCTGGTCAGCTAGAAATCAGAGGTAGCCATGCTATGACCACTCCTATAAGCTGGTCAGCTAGAAATCAGTAGTGGCCATGCTTTGACTACTCCTATAAGCTGGTCAGCTAGAAATCAGTAGTGGTCATGCTATGACCACTCCTATAAGCTGGTCAGCCAGAAATCAGTAGTGGCCATGCTATAACCACTTCTATAAGCTGCTCAGCTAGAAATCAGTGGTAGCCATGCTATGACCACTCCTATAAGCTGGTCAGATAGAAATCAGTAGAGGCCATGCTTTGACCACTCCTATAAGCTGGTCAGCTAGAAATCAGTAGTGGCCATGCTATGACCACTTCTATAAGCTGGTCAGCTAGAAATCAGTGGTAGCCATGCTATGACCACTCCTATAAGCTGGTCAGCTAAAAATCAGTAGAGGCCATGTTATGACCACTCCTATAAGCTGGCCAGCTAGAAATCAGTAGAGGCCATGCTATGAGCACTCCTATAAGCTGGTCAGCTAGAAATCAGTAGTGGCCATGCTATGACCACTCCTATAAGCTGGTCAGCTAGAAATCAGTGGTAGCCATGCTTTGACCACTCCTATAAGCTAGTCAGCTAGAAATCAGTAGTGGCCATGCTATGAGCACTCCTATAAGCTGGTCAGCTAGAAATCAGTGGTAGCCATGCTATGACCACTCCTATAAGCTGGTCAGCTAGAAATCAGTAGAGGCCATGCTTTGACCACTCCTATAAGCTGGTCAGCTAGGAATCAGTAGAGGCCCATGCTATGAGCACTCCTATAAGCTGGTCAGCTAGAAATCAGTGATTGGCATGCTGTGACCAGTTTCTGTAAGTTGGTCAGCTAGAAATCAGTGACAGCCATGTTGTGACCACTCCTATAAGCTGGTCAGCTAGAAATCAGTGATAGACATGCTTTGACCACTCCTATAAGCTGGTCAGCTAGAAATCAGTAGTGGCCATGCTATGACCACTTCTATAAGCTGGTCAGCTAGAAATCAGTGGTAGCCATGCTGTGACCACTCCTATAAGCAGGTCAGCTAGAAATCAGAGGTAGCCATGCTATGACCACTCCTATAAGCTGGTCAGCTAAAAATCAGTAGAGGCCATGCTTTGACCACTCCTATAAGCTGGTCAGCTAGAAATCAGTAGTGGCCATGTTATGACCACTCCTATAAGCTGGCCCAGCTAGAAATCAGTAGAGGCCATGCTATGAGCACTCCTATAAGCTGGTCAGCTAGAAATCAGTAGTGGCCATGCTATGACCACTCCTATAAGCTGGTCAGCTAGAAATCAGTGGTAGCCATGCTTTGACCACTCCTATAAGCTAGTCAGCTAGAAATCAGTAGTGGCCATGCTATGAGCACTCCTATAAGCTGGTCAGCTAGAAATCAGTGGTAGCCATGCTATGACCACTCCTATAAGCTGGTCAGCTAGAAATCAGTAGAGGCCATGCTTTGACCACTCCTATAAGCTGGTCAGCTAGGAATCAGTAGAGGCCCATGCTATGAGCACTCCTATAAGCTGGTCAGCTAGAAATCAGTGATTGGCATGCTGTGACCAGTTCTGTAAGTTGGTCAGCTAGAAATCAGTGACAGCCATGTTGTGACCACTCCTATAAGCTGGTCAGCTAGAAATCAGTGATAGACATGCTGTGACCACTCCTATAAGCTGGTCAGCTAGAAATCAGTAGTGGCCATGCTATAACCACTTCTATAAGCTGCTCAGCTAGAAATCAGTGGTAGCCATGCTATGACCACTCCTATAAGCTGGTCAGATAGAAATCAGTAGAGGCCATGCTTTGACCACTCCTATAAGCTGGTCAGCTAGAAATCAGTAGTGGCCATGCTATGACCACTTCTATAAGCTGGTCAGCTAGAAATCAGTGGTAGCCATGCTATGACCACTCCTATAAGCTGGTCAGCTAAAAATCAGTAGAGGCCATGTTATGACCACTCCTATAAGCTGGCCAGCTAGAAATCAGTAGAGGCCATGCTATGAGCACTCCTATAAGCTGGTCAGCTAGAAATCAGTAGTGGCCATGCTATGACCACTCCTATAAGCTGGTCAGCTAGAAATCAGTGGTAGCCATGCTTTGACCACTCCTATAAGCTGGCCAGCTAGAAATCAGTAGAGGCCATGCTATGAGCACTCCTATAAGCTGGTCAGCTAGAAATCAGTAGTGGCCATGCTATGACCACTCCTATAAGCTGGTCAGCTAGAAATCAGTGGTAGCCATGCTTTGACCACTCCTATAAGCTGGTCAGCTAGAAATCAGTAGTGGCCATGCTATGAGCACTCATATAAGCTGGTCAGCTAGAAATCAGTAGAGGCCATGCTTTGACCACTCCTATAAGCTGGTCAGCTAGGAATCAGTAGAGGCCCATGCTATGAGCACTCCTATAAGCTGGTCAGCTAGAAATCAGTGATTGGCATGCTGTGACCAGTTCTATAAGTTGGTCAGCTAGAAATCAGTGGTAGCCATGCTTTGACCACTCCTATAAGCTAGTCAGCTAGAAATCAGTAGTGGCCATGCTATGAGCACTCCTATAAGCTGGTCAGCTAGAAATCAGTGGTAGCCATGTTATGACCACTCCTATAAGCTGGTCAGCTAGAAATCAGTAGAGGCCATGCTTTGACCACTCCTATAAGCTGGTCAGCTAGGAATCAGTAGAGGCCCATGCTATGAGCACTCCTATAAGCTGGTCAGCTAGAAATCAGTGATTGGCATGCTGTGACCAGTTCTGTAAGTTGGTCAGCTAGAAATCAGTGACAGCCATGTTGTGACCACTCCTATAAGCTGGTCAGCTAGAAATCAGTGATAGACATGCTGTGACCACTCCTATAAGCTGGTCAGCTAGAAATCAGTAGTGGCCATGCTATAACCACTTCTATAAGCTGCTCAGCTAGAAATCAGTGGTAGCCATGCTATGACCACTCCTATAAGCTGGTCAGATAGAAATCAGTAGAGGCCATGCTTTGACCACTCCTATAAGCTGGTCAGCTAGAAATCAGTAGTGGCCATGCTATGACCACTTCTATAAGCTGGTCAGCTAGAAATCAGTGGTAGCCATGCTATGACCACTCCTATAAGCTGGTCAGCTAAAAATCAGTAGAGGCCATGTTATGACCACTCCTATAAGCTGGCCAGCTAGAAATCAGTAGAGGCCATGCTATGAGCACTCCTATAAGCTGGTCAGCTAGAAATCAGTAGTGGCCATGCTATGACCACTCCTATAAGCTGGTCAGCTAGAAATCAGTGGTAGCCATGCTTTGACCACTCCTATAAGCTGGCCAGCTAGAAATCAATAAAGGCCATGCTATGAGCACTCCTATAAGCTGGTCAGCTAAAAATCAGTAGTGGCCATGCTATGACCACTCCTATAAGCTGGTCAGCTAGAAATCAGTGGTAGCCATGCTTTGACCACTCCTATAAGCTGGTCAGCTAGAAATCAGAGGTAGCCATGCTGTGACCACTCATATAAGCTGGTCAGCTAGAAATCAGTAGAGGCCATGCTTTGACCACTCCTATAAGCTGGTCAGCTAGGAATCAGTAGAGGCCCATGCTATGAGCACTCCTATAAGCTGGTCAGCTAGAAATCAGTGATTGGCATGCTGTGACCAGTTCTGTAAGTTGGTCAGCTAGAAATCAGTGACAGCCATGTTGTGACCACTCCTATAAGCTGGTCAGCTAGAAATCAGTGATAGACATGCTGTGACCACTCCTATAAGCTGGTCAGCTAGAAATCAGTAGTGGCCATGCTATAACCACTTCTATAAGCTGCTCAGCTAGAAATCAGTGGTAGCCATGCTATGACCACTCCTATAAGCTGGTCAGATAGAAATCAGTAGAGGCCATGCTTTGACCACTCCTATAAGCTGGTCAGCTAGAAATCAGTAGTGGCCATGCTATGACCACTTATATAAGCTGGTCAGCTAGAAATCAGTGGTAGCCATGCTATGACCACTCCTATAAGCTGGTCAGCTAAAAATCAGTAGAGGCCATGTTATGACCACTCCTATAAGCTGGCCAGCTAGAAATCAGTAGAGGCCATGCTATGAGCACTCCTATAAGCTGGTCAGCTAGAAATCAGTAGTGGCCATGCTATGACCACTCCTATAAGCTGGTCAGCTAGAAATCAGTGGTAGCCATGCTTTGACCACTCCTATAAGCTGGCCAGCTAGAAATCAGTAGAGGCCATGCTATGAGCACTCCTATAAGCTGGTCAGCTAGAAATCAGTAGTGGCCATGCTATGACCACTCCTATAAGCTGGTCAGCTAGAAATCAGTGGTAGCCATGCTTTGACCACTCCTATAAGCTGGTCAGCTAGAAATCAGTAGTGGCCATGCTATGAGCACTCATATAAGCTGGTCAGCTAGAAATCAGTGGTAGCCATGCTATGACCACTCCTATAAGCTGGTCAGCTAGAAATC